GTCACACAATCGGAAAAAAACCGTGTTCTTCCTCATGTGGATCATAGCACATAAGAATGTATGTATGATGTAAACAAATGTACATGAAGATACAGTATAGCCTGTAGAAAGGAAAAACGAGAAAGGATGACTAACTAGCAGGTGATGAGGAAAGACTAAATGCAAATAATGGAGGACGGACATGTGAGTCATGAAAGAGGACACGAAACTAATTGTTTTTCTAGTTGGGGTTTTTTGGTTTTGTTGTTGTTTTGGTTTTGGCTTCTTGAGACAGGGTTTCTTTGGTAGCATTGGCTGTCCTGGAACTGGCTTGATAGACCAATCTGGCCTCTAACTCACAGAGATCCACCTACATTTGCCTCCTGATTGCTGGGATTAGAGGTGTGGGTTTATTCTAATTTTAACTCTCTCATGGATTTTTTCACTTTTTGTGGCGTATAAGTGCATAAAATGTGTTTAAAACTGTAAAATCCAATATGAAGTTCCATTGAGGTGTATAGACTTTTGGACTTGGTAAATTTGACTGATTTTTTTTATTTGCAAGTCCTTTATATCAAAGTTTTAATAAAAATCAGCGATAATTGAGATCAGTGAAGTGAAGCAGTTTATGTGAACAAAGCAAACCATGACTTGTCGCCCAGTATAAAGGAGGCAGAGGTGGGAGGAACACCGTTCCAGGCCGGCCCAGGCTCCAGGAGATCCGGTCTCAGCCATCACTCCCTTCCACAAAACAGAAACACCTGGGATCTCAGCATTTGGGAGGTGGAGACAGGAGAGTCAAGAGTTCAAAGCCAGCTTTGATAGGAGAGTCTGTCTCAGTACCCTCAAAACACACACACACACACACACACACACCAACAACAAAATTAAAACAAAAATATTAAACACCATGATTTGCAAATTGAGCTGCTTCCAAAAACAGAGCAGGTTCTGGGAACTCCAGAATACTGTAATCAAATGGTCTTTACAGAAAAATGGAAGAGTGGTGTAATTAGCTACAGCTTAGTCCATTAAATAACAACAGTGTCATTTAATTGGCTACAAGGCATCTAGTAAGCCACTGAGGCTGGATTACTGTGAATGAAATCTACACTGCTTTGACCTGCTGGGCTCAGTGTGGGCACCGAGTCCAGATGCATAGCTCTTACAGCTCCTACAGATGTCATCCTGTACTGGAATCTGGTAGTACCAGACCATCAATCACACTTTTGCTTGCTTACATTTGATAGGTTTTAGAGGAGAGCTTTGTGACTTGACAAAGTCTTCTGTTCCAAACAGGAATCATAGCATATGATTGGCTCTAGGATGCTAATCATTAAGTGTAGGTATTATAGTGATTTTACAAAAGAAACAAAACTGCCTTAGAAAGTAGTCAAGCCAATCACAGAGCTCAGAAGACTTTGTATGCCAGCCAAAAGTTAAGTAATAGGGTGGATGAGGGCACATTGATAAATGTCAAGGGTATTTCGTTCCTTAAAAGTATATGAAAATCTGTGGATCTAAATTTTTGGAGAACATTTATAATAAATAAAATTTAATTAACCTTTTTAAGGGGATTACTGCTTCAATGGAGTAAAATCGGATTTTACACTTTTAGATCTATTTTTCTGTACTTACATGTCATCAAAAAATGAAAACTCCATGATAGAGTTAAAACTAGAAAAACAGTGAAGCCCAGAGTAAAATATCCTAATTTGGTATTAGGTTAAAAATGCTGAAACACACCCAGGACAGTGATGTTTCCAAGGCCACACAGCTAAGTGGCAGCCAATTACTGCTCCTGTGACCTCGAACTTTCTGGTTCACAAAGAACAAAGCTTCAGCCTTTCCTTTCACTTCCAGCCAGATCAGCAGCGTCTTAACTAGCTCAGGTTGCAGGACTTATTGTGAAGCTATATACCTGTTCAACTAGATTCAAACGGGACATACTTCTAAGACTTCCTGTTCTCTCAAAACAGGCTGTAAAAGGCCACTTAATCCCGGTATGAAACTGAAGTTGCCAAGGACCAAACCAACTGTTGAGCAATCAATAACACACTAACAGGATTTTTATTGTGCTTTAAAGTTATTGATTGCAAAGCTTTTTACACTTGAGCCATGGAGCCATGGCTTCATTCATTCATCCATCAGGTAAATATCTATTAAGGACCTGGCTTTGTTTGATTTGCAAAAAAAAAAAAACAAAAAACCCAAGAACTATAGTACAGTCCTTGGCTGTATTCCTTTTTGAATAGCAGCTATTCTTTTTTGAATAGCAGTGGTTACTTAAGTAAGATAGAGTGGAGGAAAATTAGCCCCGTTCAGAAGAATCACAAGGGTGTAATATTTCCACTCATTCACCATCCTTCTTCCATGTGGAAAGTGGAGAGTCTGTTAGATTCTAGGACTTCGGGGCTGTGTATAGCTGTATTTGCAGAGGTGTTTAGTACCTTTACATTTCTGTTCTAAAGCAAGCCAAGATTTTGGTCAACTTCCCTGGGCACTAACAGGCACAGGCTGCTTGCTTTGTGTGCTTCAATCCAGCTGAACTAGGTTTGTTTTCCTTTTGGGAAAATCACAAAGCACTACTTTTGAACCTACCCTTGTCATTTTCACCTACAAATGTTACTCCCAGAGTCCCCCCAAGACCACCAAGAGACCGAATCTGGTGCAAAATCAAAGAGTCTTTACTATGAGAACTTGGGACTCTGTCCGTCTGATGCAGCAGCAGAACAGGAGAGACCCCAAGTAGCAATGGGGCAGGGTTTTTAAAGCAAAGGGGGTTTGGGGTTACAGACTACATAGGAACAGACTCGGGACTGTTTTATGTGAGTGGCAATCATGTTAGTAACTTTTAATTGTCTAGGGTTAGTTGGGGCTTACAGTTATCATTTTTAGGCAGGCCTGGACAAGTCCCAGGCTCGTCCTTGATCTGCCATAGAGACTGGCTGGCCTAGCACATTCACATTGACCCATGCACGTAGCTCTGAGTTGGTGAGGGGTCCCAGACAGTAAACAATTGACTGAACCTTGAGCAGTCAGAGTACGTGCCGAAAGGGAGCTACTGCAAGGACTATGTCTTTTGTTCATGGCCCTCCCAAAAACTGCTTGTTCAAGTCTCAGGAAACCGAAATTGAGGCCTGATCTCTGAGAGAAGACTGAGCAGCCTGTTATGGTGTCTGCTTGGTCCTTTCACAAGTTCTCAGAATGTCTAGCTTCATCCAGGGTCCTTAGTTAAAGCCTTCTGTTCCTCAGCTCCTAACATCTTTCTGAGTGGATTTAACATGGCATGTTGGCCTCTCCTGTCCTCAGCTTCCTGACCCCCTTGGCAATGTTCAGTCTCCACATTCTTGTCTGCAGCCTCAACTCTCATCCATTTACAGCCATGATTCTGATTGTCTTTCTATAAAATGCTCTAAAATGATAAAGGAATAAGGTTTTCTTTTTTCTTTTTAATAGAAAGAATCCTTCATCATCAACGTTTTGTTGGAGTCCTGGTGCTGCAGGAGTTAGGAATTGTGTTGATTTGATGCAATAATGGAGGCACCAGTAGCTTACACAGGCATCCGTTTAGTCAAGTGACCCTGGGAGCAGGCCAGTTCAGTGCTGGTAGAAGGAGTCCACAGTCAACAGACACCCAGACCCAGCCTTCATAATGTTAGAGCAAAGGTTATTCCCTGATACTTATCAGAGTGGGGTAATGTGACCTTTATTGGGGCCATTCCAGTGGCATAGAGACCACTGCATCTGTAGAGATTGGGTGCAATAATTAATACTGCCTTGGCAAATGAGGCTGGGTGCAATAATTAATACTGCCTTGGCAGATGAGCCTGGGTGCAATAATTAATACTCCCTTGGCAAATGAGAAGTTGTGAGGACATCCTTAGAAAATCACTAAGAGGGGACTGAAGAGATGGCTCAGTGGTTGAGAGCACTTGCTGTTCTTGCGGAGGACCCAGGTTTGCTGTCTTAGCCCCAACATGATAGGGTCCGTTGCGCTCTTCTTGACTCCATTGGCTCCAATATGCACATGGAGCATAAAAACACACAGGCTCACTCACATACACTAAAATAAATACTTTTAATCACTAAGAAAACATTAGAGAGTTTCTATGCACATTAAAGCTTGCATGGTGCTTGCTGTATCATGTTTTCATTCTAAAATAAAAAATATGGATACAGCTATAACCCCAGCACTCAGACCACTGAGGCAGAAGATCTTGAGTTTGAGGCCAGCCTCCTATACAAAGATCCTGTCTTAAAAATTTAAAATCTAGCCAGGCATGGTGTCGCACACCTTTAGTCCCAGCACTCGGGAGTCAGAGACAGGTGGATCCCTGTGAGTTTAAGGCCAGCCTGGTCTACAGAGTGAGTTCCAGGACAGCCAGGGCTGTTACACAGAGAAACCCTGTCTCCTTTGCTTGGACCTGCATTAGTGTAAAGTGTATGTGGTACTCAGCTCCCTCTTGATTCTACAGCTAGTTGAAATAATGGTTTCTTTACTTAGGTATCTAAAGAGAAAGCCATGAGGTATTGGCTCCAGGAGTTATTCTTAGCATATCGCTGAGGGGAGAGCCGGTCAGATTGTGGTATTTGTTTAGATTGTCAATATTGAAAGTGACATCCTTATCTACTAAGGGGCTGTGAGGAGCAGGCAATGTAGACGTCTGGCTTCTTCAAGGTTCACAACACAAATACACAGAGAATTCTGCAGGCTTCGTCAGTCCCAGCAATTCTAGGAGGTACTGGCAGCTGGAAGCCAAAGACGTTTGCACACATTTCCCCACGTGTTTGCAGATGCACCCCTGCCTCCTCTCACACCATTGCCTCTTTGTCAGGAAACAATTGCCTAGCAGGAATTGCCACTAAATGTAATTGCCCTCTTTCATGGCTGCTTATAAGAGGTGTTTGTAAGGGTTGATCCAGCTGATGTAATTTCAGACCCAGAAATAAAAGTGGTCAAGTTGTTTTCTTCAGTGTCTGGAGAAGTGGCCAGATGGGAGGATATTGTAGGCTTTGGCATGGCTCAACAAAATAACTATTACTTCATCTGGCAAAGGTGAGTGAGGTTTTATTGATTTTATACTTCGAATGAAAGCCCCAGTGTTATTTAATGCAAGTTCTTTGCCAACCACCAGCCTGTTCCTTGGAACATAGGCGATTTCATTTTTAATGGTTGAAGCAGAACCATCCTGACTAGAAACTTCTGGAAGAGTGCATGTGTGGTGCTGCCACCGTGGGTGATGACTGTCACTCCATGTCCTCCTCCATCTGTCCTTAGGGAGCAGCTGAGGTCCCATGACAGCCTAGGTTGCCCCTGTGGCAGCAGTAGTGAACAGCCGCACAGCTTTTTCCATCATTCCGGCCACAGCGATGCCTCCACAGTGAATGGAAATGGGCCCCGCCCTCTGCCTGTGTGTGAGCAGCCTGAACCCCTAGCTGGACCTTGGGCTGTTCCAGAGGTAACCCTTGTTGAAATAACTCTTAGTCATCTATGTGCCTGATAGTGTAAGCATCATTTCCTTACCTTTCCCCCCTCCACTCCTATTTTCTCTTTCTTTCTTCCCGTTTTTTTTCTTTTTGGAAAGGCAAATGATTTAAATTCTTTCTGACTCCTCTAGAAAGTAAAATAATAGACTGATTAAATCTTGACCTAAAATTGCTTGCTAGTAAATTTTAGATCATCATTGGAAGTAGATTTCGCTGTCACTTAAACTGGGCCTGGAAAGAACTTTGGTTGGCTAAAGGAGACATGAAGACCATTTAGAAAGATGTTTTAACACCGATCAGTGATGTGTTTCTAAGTCCCCTGAAGATGTACCTGCACCTCTCTTCTCATTCCCTCTCAGCTTGGAGGGAAAGTATCCTTGGAATGAATTTGTCTTCTACATCTTTCTTCCAAATGCCTGCTAGCCGAGTTGGTCAAACTTTCTTTCTGCTGAGGATAGGGATGGGGCTTCATTAAAAACAACAACAATTAAAAAAAAACTTGTACTTCCAGCTTCTTTAAAGAGAACCCTCTTTAAAACTTGCCCCTCTAGGACCCGGGGGTTGTAGCTCAGTGGTAGAGCTGATACCAAGCATCACAAAGCCCAGTCCTAAGCCAAACTAATCAAACAAGCAAAACCAATGTCCCTAAAATGTTGGGATGCACAGGCAGTAGATTCTCTGAGTTTAAGGCCAGCTAGGGCTCCTGAGGGAGATTCTGTCTCCAACAGCTCAGTTAACCCTGTTTAGAGAAGTTATGGGTTTTATTCCATCTTCTTCTAATATTCAAAGTATTTTTGGTATCTGAACAACTTTTACCTTTCTTCAGGTGTTTGCCTGGATTTTTTTGTGGTATTTGTTTGTTTGTTTTGTTTTTTTGAGACAGGGTTTCTCTGTGTAGCCTTGACAGTCCTGAAACTAGCTCTGTAATTAGGCTGGCTTCGAACTTCTGTCTCTGCTTCCTGAATGCTGGGAGTAAAGGCATGCATTACCACCGCCCAGTTGTTTGTTTTTGTCTTTTTCTGTTTGTTCGTTTTGCTTTTGAGACTACATTTCCGGGAGTGGAGGGGCTGAATTAAAATGTTAAGCAACATTTAAAATGTAGTTAGGAATTACTCTGTTTTAGTAAAGTGGTGGTTGAAGCTTCTCTCCCAAGATCCATGCCTTCACTAGCCCTGGGTAGCTGGCTAGGTTTCCAGTACCAGGCGTGATTTCCCTCTTGTTGAGTGGGTCTTAAGTCCAGTAAGAGAGCTGTTGGTTACCCCCAAGGCATGCGTACCACTACTGCCCCCTCAGAGTCATTGTGCCAAGCTGGTCATTGTTGTGGTTCACACCCATCCAAACTGGGTAGGACGTTGGCTGCTTCCCTCCTTTGGAAGCTTGTGTGTGTGTCACCTGCTGGTACCCGGGAAGCATGTGCTGAGAGAGAACACATTCAGGGCAGTTCTAGCTCAGGGGCCTCTGGGCCCTGTGTCTGAGGTGTATCTTCAGCAATAGGGTGTGTGTGTGTGTGTGTGTGTGTGCATATGAGCATATGATATGTAATATGTAAGTAATTGTAACAACAATTAATGAAAAGGGCCTTGATTTGAAAGAGAACAAGGAAGAGTATATGGTAGGATTTGGAGGGAGAAAAGGGAAGGGGGAAATGATATAATTATATCATAATCTCAAAAATATAAAATAATAATAATGTTAAGCAGCAGAATGCTCACCCCAAACCTTGAATTTGCACTTCATTGCTGTCTGTGGGGGAGTGCTGGCTTGTTTGGGGTCTCGTCTGTGTGAGAAACCAATCAAATAGGCAAGGACAGCGTGGATCTATTAATTGTCCAGGGTATACAGCTGCTGAAATGTTCACTGGGAACCAGGAGTGATGGTGCACACTCTGTAATCCCAGCACTTTGGGAGGCTGAGGCCAGAGAAACAGGAGTTGGGGCTAGCATGGGCTACACAGGAGACTATTGTCTCAAATAAATAAGTGAGTAAATAAATAAATGTTCATTGTGCCCATGTCCCATGCTGTCCTGTCAATTTTCTCCTTTTGGGGTGGTGTCCTCTGCTTAACCACATAAGTGATCAGGCAGTGAGAAAAGTGAGCTTTGCCATTGAAAGGTGATGGCTGTCACTTGAATTGTGTCCTGACGTGCACAGTGATGAAGGCCTCTTCTTAGCACCGATGTTGAATTTAATACCTAGGCTTTTGGTTTCTAAAACTTTTTAAAAAATTAATATTTTGTTCATGTATATTTCATTTTCATAATTCAATTTTCTGACAAACACTTTCACCTTCAACTGTTAAAGTCTTTCAGGTGTGCCTTTTATATAAGACAACTTGTTTTCTCTCCCCCACCCCAGAGGGGGGCATCCTTTTAACAGATGCTCTGTATGTTTTTTAAAAAGTTTGCCCTCTGGAACTTGAGAAATGGCTCAGTGGTTAGGAACACTGGCTGCTCTTCCAGAGGTCTTGGGTCCAATCCCAGCAACCACATGGTGGCTCACAACCATCTATAGTGGGATCTGATGCCCTCTTCTGGCATAGAGATGTACATGCACATAGAACACTCATCTACATAAAATAAATAAATCTTTAAAAGAAAGTTGTTGTCTGAGGTTTGAATTCACATTTTGTTCTTTTACCCTCTGTTTGGGGATTGCCTGTATATCAACCTCAGAAATTACTTTTTCTCTCTACTCATGAGAGCACTAAAATAATTAACAGATTCTTTCTCCACCTTATTAACCCTTCCCTCTGTTCTAACAGTTAATTTTTGTTGTTATTTATTATTATTATTATTATTATTATTATTATTATTATATTAAAGATGTGAGCCATCACACTCAGCTATTTCTGTTTATTTAGGTTTATTTTTTATTTTATGTGTCTGAATATTTTCCCTGCATGTATGTCTGTTCATCATGTGTGTGCCAGGTACCCGTGGAGATCAGAGGAGGGTGCAAGATCCTCTGGGCCTGGAGTTGCAGAAGGTGTTGCGAGCTGCTGTGTGGACGCTGGGGGTCGAAACCTTTCCTTTAAGGACTACTGGTGACTCCTGGTCAGGGACCCTCATGTCCCACAGATGCTCTCTCTTCGGGAGTTTCTGCTTCCCAAACTCTTCAGAGTTCACATTTATCAGAGTGAGATAGGAAAGGACAGAACATGAGATCACTTAAAGAAAAGACCCCCTTTAAACTCTGACTCTGGTGGCTTACCCACTTATAAATGGGGGGGGGGGGAGACACAGCTGGTGTGATTATATCCGTTACTGAATCGTTTATTTTTCAAACCAGGACATGTTTCAGAGGGAAGAGGAGACTACCTTTAGGTAGATAATGTATCTTCCCTCCCAATACGATCTACTTATTATCAAGGGAAGTTTAAGTTCACGGGTGCTAGGACCTAATGTAGGTGCTAGGACCTTGAAACAGCTGTGCATAATTAAAAGGGAAAGCATCTTGTTGGATGTTGTGTGTTGCTCGGGTCAGTTGAAGAAAGAAGGTCACTCCAAGATGTATTCAGGCTGTCGCAGCAGGGAGGAACTGTTTCTATGAACTGAACCCCAAGCAGCCATGCAAATCCATATTTCTCCCCTGCCCCCCACCCAAGCCATATTTCTTGATTGTTACACAAAGGTTGTTTTCAGGATAAAACAAGTTCCTTGTACCAAAGCCCCTGATCTAATCTGTATGTTTTGTGAAGGAAGTCCTCACACTCCTGCAACTTTAGTCCTTACTGTGAGCTGTTTGTAGTATCCAATAACACAGGACGCTCCAGGTGTGTCAGGACTGCCTTGTGACCAGGGTCATGCAAAGGCTGTAAAGCTCCTTCAGAAAAACAGCTCTCTAGATGACAGAAGACAATCACTGTTTTCCACAATGATTTCTTCCAGGTCTAAGTACTTATAGAAACCAGCTACTTCATTCTCGTGGTTACCCTAGATACAGTGAAAAACAACTATTTCATTCTCGTGGTTACCCCAGATACAGCGATTCTGGTAGATATCTGCTACAGTGTCTAAAGCTGGGGTGGCCCCCAACCCTGAATAAAGCACACGGCAGGCAAGCAAGAACACAAGCTCAGATGCCCAGCACCCACATAAAAAGCCAGGCATGGTGACGCACATCTGGGATTCCAGCGTCTCTGGAGACAGAGACAGGAGGCCCTCTGGGGCTTGCTTTTCAGTCCTTCCAGCCAAACTGATGAGTAAGAGACTTCATCTCTCAAAATACAGTGGGGAGAGAGGATGGAGAGACAGCTTAGGAGTTTAGAGTACTTGTTGCACTAGCAGAAGACATGGATGCAATTCTCAGCACCCACATAGTGGCCCACAACTATCTATAACTCCAGTTCCGGGGATCTTCTCCTCTCTGTGGACAACAGGCTTGCACATGGTTCACAGACATACATGCAGGTAAAACATTCATACACACAAAATAAATCTAAACACATTTAAAAGAATCAAGTTCAGTGATCAAAGAAGACACCCAATGTCAGCTTCTAGCCTCCATATACATGCATGTGCACATGCACACATACACAAAAGTGTTCAGCAGGTGTGTGTAAAGGGGACATTCACATGTGTGCCACCCCAGAGCCAGCACAGTCTGGATTAATCAGCCAAAATTTATGCTTGAGGTGCTTCTGGAAGTTACTCTCCTCATTTGGTAAAAATGTGGTTCATTGCTTCACTGCTCTGCATTCTCTGTGACTCCGTGGGTACCTAACGGGCTGGTTTTGTGCTTAGCCCTAGGTGGTTGGTGGGGAGAGTTTGGGGTCTGGACAAGGAGATTGTGTTTCTGGAGGTGTTGCAAATTGACTTCTGCAAGAGAGGCCAGTGTAAAGGTGGGGAACAGGCCACCTGATACAGAAATAGGAAGTCTGTCTGGCATGGTGGTAAACACTCGGAAGGATGAAGCAAGAGGATTAAGAGTTAGAGGCTAGCCTGGGTTACGCAATGAAATCCTGTGTTAAGCAAGACAACACAAAGAGCCTAATGCCGGGAGCCTCTGCTGTGTGGTTCCTGGGCCCTGGGATTCTAACAGTTCCCAGAAGCTGTTGTCAGCCTCATGGCCTGCTTAACATTTTTTCTGCAGTCCAGCTCACCTACCTCATGATTTGGGGAGGTTTAGGGGGTTTATGTTTTTCTGAGCTAGGTTTTCTATCCCAAGAAAGTATGTATGATGTTAAATCTTTGCATCTTTTCTCTTAAGATACTCATTTTCTTTGTAGGAAACCTCAACCCCATCTGGAAACCAAGGTGAAGAACTTCTAGGAGGTAATGTGAACCCTGAGCTGCAGTGGTTGAGAAAAAAGAAAAAGAACAAGTTCTAGGTACCTCATTCTCTCAAGTTGCTGGAAACTGAGAGATCTGACAGGAAAATTCCACTGTAGATTTGCTTAAAAATTCTCTTTAGAGAATTGTCCTGTCTGGGGAGACTGTTTCTATGGGGTCTAATAGGTTTTCTGTGCACTCTCCTACCCCCACCCCCACCCCAAAATATGTTTCTCTGCTGATGCACTAAGCCAGATCAAGTAGAACTGAAAAAGTATAACAACAGGTTTATTGAGCAAAGTGACTCCTGGGAGGGTTCTCTGGTCCTAGAAATGAGTGCCCAGGCCAGGGCAGGAAAGTTTTATAGATTGTAGGGCAGAAGTGATGACCTGTCCATCACAAGCTGGGTTTGTGCCTAAGTACGGTCAAAAGCTGAGTGCTTAGGTGGGGACTTGGGCAGCTGGGGCAGCATTGAGGGAAGAAGTTACAATAGTCACCAAGAATGTGGGACTGGGCTTTTTGGCGCCTTTCCTTGTTTGGAGACTCTCTGAGCAGGCAGGGTTTGAGGAGGGAGAGGGAGAGGGAGAGGGAGAGGGAGAGGGAGAGGGAGAGGGAGAGGGAGAGGGAGAGACCATTATTTCCAGTAAAGACTAGTTCCTCTCTGTCCCTTTGTGTTCTCTAGCTTTTATCATCTACAAGGGGTCAACACACTCCTTAATCTTGGCCTTCTAGGACTTAGGGCAAACACATTTTACCTATTATATGAATGTCAGTGCAAATGGATTAAGGATTAATTATGCTTCATTTTGTCTGTGAGGGCTGAGATGGAACACAGGACCTTTTCCACACCCACATTTTATTTTTTAAAGAAAAAAAGCAGGAGGTAGTTTCTGTAGCTATGGCTTCCTGGTTTCCCTCTAGGCCATTGACTGATTACTGGGGACCCAAGAGGTGGCTCTGGAGTGACAAGCTGGAGGTATTTTCTCAAGTTTTCATTTGTTCTGAAAAGAACAGACGGGCCCACAGAAAGTTTTTGAATGTGTCATATTTGAAGAAGGGGAGAAAATACTTTGTCACAGAAAAGAGAAAGGGAGAGATGGAGAAATGGGTGCCATTGCCTATTGGTACTCACAGGAGAGATGGAGAAATGGGCACCATTACCTATTGGTACTCACAGGAGAGATGGAGAAATGGTGCCATTGCCTATTGGTACTCACAGGAGAGATGGAGAAATGGGTGCCATTGCCTATTGGTACTCACAGGAGAGATGGAGAAATGGGAGCCAAGTCCTGCTGAGCCATGGCTGGGCAGACCCATCCTTTGTTATCTTAAAGAAGGTAGCAGGTGATTGTGGTTTTGTGGCTCAGGAGGTCATCATGGAGTTTGCATGCTTGTTGTTTTCCTTTAAGAGACAGGAAATATTTGTATCAGTCGGTTGTTCTAGATGTCAGTCTTTAGATTTACGTAGGAACAAAGGGTGCTTATTTCAGCTCTCAGGGGATTTATTTTGGGTTAAAATGTGAGCCTGCTCTTCTTGCCTTCGTGAGCTATGCAACGTACAATGAGGACATGGTAGTAAGCTAGGTGTGGTATCCCAACACTTGTGAGGCAGAAAAATGATGTGTTTGAGGCTAGCCTGGGCTACACAAAAACACTGTCTCCAAAAATAAAAGCAACACCCCCAAAGATCTAGTTTCCCAATCCAGACTGTCAGGGTTCCAATCCTACCTACTAGCTCTACGACCCCAGACAGATTAATGTCTAGTTGGTTTCCTTTCTGTAAAGTGGGTTGTCCTCTCTAACTCAGAGGATATGTGAGTGTGACAACTCAAGAGCTCCTGTGTGTCCTAACAGCACCTGGCATACAATAACCACAAGAAGGGACAGCTAGGTCATAGACCCAGAGAAGCATAGCTGACAGAAATCAACACCAAACACCAGCTGCCCAAAAAGATGAGTTTAAATCTCTAGTAGGGAAACTGAAGAGAAAACTGAAGAGACTGGGAACTTGGGTATTCACTGTTTCCACGTGACGTTCCCAGTGTGCATGGATACAGCTGTCTACCTTGGCTGCTGTGAATCTCCCTGCCTTTGCATTTAATAGGCTTACTCATCATCACACTCCCCACCACAGGTTACAGGAGAGAGGGCATGCTCACACCTAAGGGTGTCGTGTCAACCCAATACCTCTCCTCCAACCACAACATGTAAACAACACAACCCTCCCTCCCCCAAATTGTGCTTAACTGCTCAGGAAAGATACCTGGAACTGAACTTAAGAAAAAAAATTCAGAAAGTTCAGGAGAAAAGGTAGAAAAATATAGTCTTAGACAGGATCATTTTATGTAGTCCTGGTTGACCTGGAACTTACTCTCTCTGTAGACCAGGCTGACCTCAAACTACAGAGATTTCCTTCTGCCCCTACCTCCTGAGTGCTGGGATTAAAGGCATTTGCTATCTGACCCAGACTGGAATTTCCCAGCCCTGGCCACACAGCTCTAGTGGCTGGAAATCCCAGGCTCAGGTTTCTCAAAAGAAATATGGCTCAAAAGACTAAGGTTCAGACAACACACCACCAATGGCTGATGCAGGTGATTTCACAGTAATGAATTCGAAAGGGGACTGTATGGGTCTGCTAGAACTGCTGTGACCAAGTGCCACAGGCAGAGTGGTTGACACACCAGAAACTCCTCCCCCCAGTTTCCCAGGCCCTGGCCACTCAGCTCCAGGGGCTGGAAGACCCAGGCCCAGGAGGTTCTGGCAGGAGTTCTCTCCCTGGCATGTGGATGTACTCCTCTGAATGCCCTCACAAGATCTCTCCTTGGTGTTGATACTAAACCTGAAGAAGTAAGTCCTGCTGCCTTCTCATTTAAGGGCACTAATCCTCTCAGACCGGGATCCTACCCCATCACCCCTCCAACCTCGATCATCCGCCCCCCGAGGCCCCAGCTCCAAAGACTCTCAAAATGAGTGCTAAGACTTGGTATATGAACTCAGGGAGGGACACAACATTCAGTCCCTGACATCCTTGCCACGGAATATGAACCCATGGGAGGCAAATGATGGTGCTGGATGCATTTAGACTTGCAAAAATTATGAAGAGCTTCTTCAGTTACATTCAATGCAAGGGGAAAGAAAATGGGTTAGTTTAAAAAAAAAAAGTGACTTTGGTGTTTTGGGGAACCTCAGGAAGCCTGACACCTTGGAAGGAAAACCCAGATATATTTATATATGGTCATGGTATGACCTCTTATCATGGGTTCCAGGCTTTCGAAAGTGGAGGTCAGGTTCTCTGCTTTAAAGTTACTTGATACATGAAGCTTGCTCACTTACATAGGTCTGTTTGGTAAGCAGAGATGCTGTTTACAAAGCATCCTCCTGAGTTCTCAGGCCAGAAGCTCCAGTCTCATCCTTGGCTTTCGCTTTTTTCTGAAAGGAATTCCTCCAAGCACCTTTGGACTTCGGTTTCCTTCCATCCCCTCCAACTGTCCAGGTTCCTGATGAGCCCTGTGTGAAACTGTCTTTCTCCTGTCTGTAATGGCTTCTGCAGACCCAAACCTTCATTTGAGTATTGAAGAATCAAACAAGAAGTTCATGGCAGAAAGTGAAGAACTGGACGACTCCCTCATGAACTGTCACTGGCAGCCTCTGGACACCATCCTGTCTAATGTCCCTGGTGAGCCCTACCCACACTCCCCAATATGAAACAAGTATTCACTATGTCCTCCAACTGGCCTATTAATTGTATCTTGCTTTGGCTTTGGAGAAAAAAATTCCAGGAATATATTAGATTCTGAATATATTATTAACTATTTTCCCCCTGGTACTGGGATTGAGCCTAGAGTCTCGAATGTGTTAGGAAGGCTCTGTACCACTGAGTTATGCCCCCAGCCCTCAGAAACCATATGGAAATATAAACTTCTGGGACTTCAGTGAGAATGACATGATGATATGATATAAGTAAAGATTACCAGCACAGTTATTCCAGGAAGTGTGTTATCAAGTCGGTTCCAGAAGAATTCACATGACTGATGAGGCAGAAGTCACAAGATGACATTGGAAGGCAGATTTTACAGAGATGGGTTTGTGCTCAAGGGTTGGTGGCCTTTGCTACTGTGTTTTGCTGACTTCCTGTAACAGTAAACTCCCATGGGGAGAAATCAGATGCACATGGGATATAAAATCTCCCTTGGCATCTTGTCTGGCAAATGTCAATTAGAGGTAGATGCTCAATCTTCACTAGCCCTCAGGCACTGTTTAAGGAAGTTGGTTTAACCACAGAAGGCAACGGAGAGTCATTCAGTTGAACAAGAAGATTCCTAAGCATGAACAAAGTTCACCTCATCCATACAGCCTGATGGTTTTTCTAAGATCAAGGAATTGGGACTCTATACAAGCCAGTTGTGAAGCTTCAGTGTGCATCATGACTGTGTTTATGAAGTGGGAGTGGGGTAGTTGGAGAGATGGTTCTTAACTAGAGTTAAGAGTGCTAGTTGCTCTTCCAGAGGCCCTGGGTTCAATTCCCAGCACCCACATGACAACTCACGACTACCTATAATCCAGTTCCAGGGAATCCGATGCCCTCCTCTGCCTTCTACAGGGACCAGGTATATATAGTGCATAAATGTACATGCAGGAAAAAACAGATATTCATAAAATAACAAACTATAAAAACCCAAATAGGTCTTATTGTGCTCTGGTTTATTGCTTTGCCTCAAATAGACACTTCAGGGAGACCCCTGGATTGAGGTCATAGACTTGAAAGCTAAAAGCATATGTTTAGGAGGGTTGGTCAGGCCACAAGCAAAGGGATCAGACATCACCTTTGCAAAGGTACTTAGCTCATGCTGAACCCCTGCTGCACAGGCCCTCGAAAGCCCCTCAGAAAGCCTGGTGGGCTGTAGCTGCTGCAAACGAAGGCAGGGAGCAGGACTTCCCCACCCCACCCTGTCGCCACTTGCCATTTGAGCCCAGACTTTCCTTCCCATAAGGATTATCTTGAGCATTTTCCCTGACCTCTGCCATAAGATACCCATAGCCCTCTTGTACCATAATGTGACTGAAGAGTCCCCAGACCAAGCCATATGCCCCACCCCCAGGGGAGAAACCGTGCCCTCACCTAAGATTATAGCAATGGTCACCAGGTTCCAGGAAGGTGTGTTGAGACTGAATCAGAAAGTTTGCTCTAGGATTTGATAGTGAAATGAAAAAAAACACCGACACAAATCAGCAGGGCAAGGATTTAAATTTAGTCAAGTAATCCTTTGTTAGAGAAATGACCACAAATCCATACTGTTTGCATATTTGTTTTAAAGGGACAACCAATTTGATCTCATTTACATCAATCTTGTATAGAAATAAAGGGGGGGGGGAGAGACTAAATGCTTACCCAGCATGCATGAAGCAGCCTTGGTCTTCAGCATCCCGTAAATTGGGTATGATGGTGCATACTTACATCCCAGCCCTGGAGATGAGGGGAAAATGAGGCAAGCAGACTCTTTTGGTTGCTGATGCTTGGCTTGAATTGGGTTTTTGAGACATGGTTTCACTATACAGTCCAAGCTGGGCTCAAGGTCATGATCTTTTTGCCTTGGGCTCCCAAGTGCTTAGAATATGGAACTTTAAAAAATGTGGCTAAATGAAGTTAGAACAAGGAGATACTTTCTGTTTTTTCTCTTGGTTTTTTGAGTCTCATGTTGTCTGTAGCTCAGGCCAGCCTGGAGCTAGAAACCATCCTCACCACTCCGGGACTGTGGGTGTGAAGCCCCATACCTGGGTCCAGAGAAGAACTTTTTATTTGTAGGCTATCCTGTCTTTCTCTCAGGGATCCAGCTTTGCTCGTGAAGAACAGATGTTTAAGGAGACAACAGAGCCACACTGTGTTCTAGTAAAACATCACTTACATAAGCAGGTCAGATTTACTCACAAGATAAAAAGCCTCGAGTGGGTAGAGAGGCTCCCTGGGAAGGCAGTGGCCGAACGGTAGCAACAGACGATGAGAAGGAACAGTTTCAGCTAATGAAAACTTACTTGGCTGCAAAGGAAAACAGAAGTCAAGGAGCCCATGGTTCTAGGGGGAAAAAAAATTAACCGCAGCTCAGGTGCTTTGTGGTGTTGAGATTGTGAATACCTCTGGTGTGGAGAGAGGGGAGGACTCTGAGACCTGACTGGCCACATTATGAACCACTGATAGTCAGTCAGGTTTACCAAGTCCTTGGGCCTGCGGGGAGTCCTTCTGTGGCAAGTTAACAGGGACCTACCTAATTGATGGTGACAAACTCCTACCTTGGAAACAGGGTTGGTCATAGATTACCGGCTGTGGAGACCATTACTCTGCCTGGAATTATCTCATCTGTGAGATCAAGGGCAGGCAGTGCTTTTGTGTGAGTGGAGAGGGAAAGCAGAGGCTATCTTATTCATCGTGATTGATGACCAAGGCCTGGACAACTCTTTTCTAGTGCAGATATGTTTTGATTTATTAAGAAAGAGGAAATCATTGAGACAATAGGATGGAAATCCCGGGTATCTGATGAGGTAAATTTAGGAAGGCCTAGACTAGTAGTAGTCAATAGGTCCTTGCTTACTCCCTTTGGGGAGCTGGAATTACTTTTTTTGTGTGGCTGTGACCAAAATGCCTGAGAAAAGAGCTTTAGGACAGAGGGCTCATCTGGTCTCACAGTTTCAGAGGGTTCAGACCACACTTGGTCAGCTCCATGTGCTTGAGCAGAACATCATGGTGATCAAAGCATGTGACAGAGAAGTTCATCACCTCAGGCCAGACGGGAAGCGGAGAATGAGGAAGGAACTGAGGACCCAGGATGACCTTCAGAGCCATGTCCCCAGAGACATACTTCCTCCACTGCTGTCTCTTAAAGTTTCCAGAACCATGTCAAGCAGCACTACTGTCTGGGTACCAAGCCTTAACCACACAAATCTGTGGAGGACAGTTCATTTGGATCATAACATGGTGATGGATGGGGGGGACTGCTGAGAGCCACCCCATCACTCTGGTGTGACTGCTGCAGCATCACCAGGGTGGCTGGATTCCGCCTTGAGACTGCATTAGTTACTTTTCTCGTGGATATGACAAAAATGGCTGACAGACAAGGAGGGCAGGGTTTATTTGAGCTTTTGCTTCTAGAGAATATAATCCATCATGGTGTGGGGGGTGTGGCAGGAGCATGGGGTGGTCCGTCACATCATGTCCACAGTGAAGGAGGAGGAGAAGGAAGAGGAGGAAGAGGAAGGGGAGGAGAAGGGAGAGGAGAAGAGGAAAGGGGTGCTGGTGCCTAGTCGGATTTCTCCTCTTTCTTCAGTACAGGATCCTAGTCCATAGGATGGTGTGACCCACTTGTAGTGTGGGTCTTCTGTCTTCAGTTAGACCTTTTTGGAAATACTGTCACAGCCATACCATGGTGATTCTAAATCCAATCAATTTGACAATGAAAATGACCCATTGCAGAAATCTAATGATATGTCTCCGTTTCTCCTCAACGGGCTATAATTTGGGTTTCAGCAGAAGACTCCTTAAGCTGATCATGTCTCCTGCCCAGCCTCAGCCAACAGTAGGTACCATTTTTGTATGTTAAGACTGCAGGAACCCACTCCCAAAAGGCTGTCTTCTGTCTCTACACAAACACTGTAGTGGTACACACACACACACACACACACACACACACACACACACACACACACACAAATAAGTAAATGCCTGAAAAAAAGTTATCTTGTCTTTTGTTTATTTGTTCCAGGTTGGCCCTAAATTCTTAATATTTCTGCCTCAACCTCCTTAGTGCTGGGATTACAGGATTATTTGTCACCACACCCAGCTAAAGTTTTTGTGGCAGTAAAATATACATAAGGTAAAATTTACTGTGTTAACCATTTTAAGATACATTTCAATAGTTTTAATACATGTGTTATTGGGTAATTATCACCACCATCCATATCCAGAATTATTCTTCTTCCCATGATGAAACTCCATATCCATTGAACAGTAGCTCCTTTCTCTCTCTTCTCTCTCTCTGTCTCTCTCTCTCTCTGTCTCTCTCTCTCTCTCTCTCTCTCTCTCTCTCTCTCTCTCTCTCTCTCTCTCTCTCTCATCCCCCGACATCCAGAATTCTCTTCCTGTAGTAATGAACTTGCTTACTTTTGACTTTTCAAGGAAATAGCATCATACAAGCTGCTGCTTTTGTGTTTGATGCATTTTCAGTTGGCATAATATTTTCAAAGTTCATCTTTGTTGCAGCATATGGGAACTTACTTTCTCAGATTGGATAGTATGCCAGTGATTATGCTTGCCACATTGTACTTATTTATCCATGGGTGGGTCTTTGGGTTGTTTCTAACCATTGGTAATTATGAATGATGCTGCTATAAATGCTTAGACATGGTGCCCAAGGTGGGTGGGCTTATTAAAGTCAGAGAAGTGTGGGCAAGCAAGACACCCATATTCCAGTGTGGAACACCCTTTTTTTTTTTGGCTCTATCAAGCTTATTTATTTTTAATGAAATTGGACAATTTCTAGAATGAGCAATCTGACAAAAATATATCATACTTTACTGATATAATATAAGGAAGATGAATCACTGCTTTAATCACACACAGAAAATACATACACACAAAATCATTATAAAAATTTTATCATTTTAATTGTTTGTGGAACACCCTTGATGTGGGGTAGAAACCAGTGTGTGGAGTGAGAAGACATGAACTGTCTTCAGGGACCAGGCAGATGTGTTTTAGGCCGTGACTTCCCAAACTGTGGTTTATAGAACACATGAGTTCTATAAAGAGATGAACAGCTCAAAACAGAGGCTGTTGAAATGTTCAAATTCATTCCAGAAAGGCTGTGTTTTTCCTCTCCATGTTTTTGGATGAAAGGCTCTGACAATGTGCCGTTTCTAAGCACTTCCCAAATGGACCAGACCATAGAATAAGCCCCTTTACCTGACATACCTAGCTGACATTGGAAAGAGTATGCTAAAGTCATGCACTAAAGGTATGTATGTTCTGCAGATGGGATGGCTGTTGAGTGCTAACAATCAGCATTAAGT